CTATGGGGCCACGAAACGCTGCCCTGGGTGGGGGAACCGCATGCGCCCACCCCCACTGGGGCCTTCGGTGGAGCCTGGGGCCACGAAATGCCCTGGGTGCATGCGGCCCCTTCGGTGGAGTTCCCTATGGGGCCACGAAACGCTGCCCTGGGTGGGGGAACCGCATGCGCCCACCCCCTGGGGCCTTCGGTGGAGCTCCCTATGGGGCCACGAAGCGCTGCCCTGGGTGGGGGAACCGCATGCGCCCACCCCCACTGGGGCCTTCGGTGGAGCTCCCTATGGGGCCACGAAACGCTGCCCTGGGTGAGGGAACCGCATGCGCCCACCCCCACTGGGGCCTTCGGTGGAGCTCCCTATGGGGCCACGAAACGCTGCCCTGGGTGGGGTACCGCATGCGCCCACCCCCACTGGGGCCTTCGGTGGAGCTCCCTATGGGGCCATGAAACGCTGCCCTGGGTGAGGGAACCGCATGCGCCCACCCCCACTGGGGCCTTCGGTGGAGCTCACTGTGGGGCCACGAAACGTGAGAGAGGTGTGCCGAGAGCAGAGGCAAGGAGGGGGAGGAGGGAGGAGGGGGGAAGGGCGGGAAGGAAGGAAGGAGAGGAACGGGGGGGGCACCGTCTCTTCAAAACGAGGACCCAACACCACAGGATGGTTGGGAAATAAGTTACCTTCTGAAAAGGGAGGGAGGGAGGGGATGCCTTCCCTTCCCTCCCCATTCCCTTTCCTCCCTCCGCCGAGGCTAGCCGCCGTCCCGGCTCAGGGGCCTCGGGTGCAGCTACCCAGTAGCTGCGCGCCCCTCGGGACGGGCGGTCATACGCGCCAGCCAGGGCCTCCTCGGCGCTCCCTGGCAGGCCGTGCAGCAGCTGACGTGTGGCCAGCGCCACGGGTCGTCAGCCCACGACCAGCGAGCCCGCCTGGCACAGGCGAGCCCGCGAACGCCGCAGTCAAGCTCGGGTACTGCTCAGAGTGGCTTCAGCACAAGCCACGCTCGCATCGCACCACAGCAGTCCTGAGTACGTGCATATGTCCAACAAGGCAGTATGGCAGCGCACCACATCTTCGTGGTTCTGTTCGCGCTGTGGGGTTTCACATGCTGCTTCCACGGCTTGGTGCACGACATGTTTTCCAGATCGCAAGGGATTGAGTCGTCGGCCTTGGCGTCGAGACAGATCCCTATCACGTGCTGCGTCTCGAGGCGCTCAAGAGCGAGAGCCTTCCGAGGCAGCATCGCAGGCAGCCAGCATACGCAGTTCTACCACTACAAGGAGAGTGGCGACGCTCGAAGAGGCCAAGGCTCATCGCCTCTGGACCGAGCCACCGCCACTCGCAGCAGACAGAGAGGCCCACAGAGCTCACCTGAAGAGTGCCATGAGAGCTGTGGAGCAGCAGATTCAAGCACAAGAGAAGCTTTCCACAGATGCCCCCCTCTTGGAGTCCAAGAGGATCGAGTACTCGGTCTACCAGTTCATGCATCTGTATTCGTACCCGCCGAAGGAGAGAGTCTGCAATCAGCAGGCGTACTTAGAGCGCATCGGCAAGCGCTTCGAGGCAGCGCAAGATGCAGAACGTCAAGCAGAGCTGGCCCTTTCGGCAGCCCAGAAGCATCGAGAAGCCATGTCAATCGAAATCAATCAGGCGTCCGCACTGTTGGAGAGCTTCAAGACGTTGGCCGAGCAGGAGAACCCTCACAAGTCCGTCACGTTCGAGGAAACGCCCACGCCTGTCTCGGCAACGGCCACTACACCTCAGCCGCCATCGCCTTTCGCGCCCACAGCTCAGGTGCCACCACAGGTCATTGCAGATCTTCAAGCCAATCAGAACGCCATGACATCAGCATTGACAGCGCTGCAGGGATCCATCGTGACGATTCAGGCCACACTGAGTCAACTCACTATTCAATCGCAGCCAGCCGTCCAAGCAGCGCCGCCTGCATCATCTCCTACTACAGGGAATGCAGCGCCGACCGGTGGAGTTGCCAGCAGCCCAGTGGCAGCAGGCTCCGCAGCAGCTCAGCGTCCCACATCGCACATCGGCAAGGGCGGCGTCATCAAGACGCAGGGCAAGGTGAACGCGGCGAGGACACGCTTGGAGCAGGCCGCCAAAGCCCCTGGGCAGACGCGGCTATCACTGGGCCGTTCTTCGAAGGACGACGACAGCCTCGAGCCGCCGCACAAGAGCATCTGCCTGCCGCACGAGGATGGCGAGGAGGAGGCGCACTCGGACGCCATGATCGAGGACGAGGACGTGGAGCAGGATGGAGCTGCAGGGGATCGTGCAGCAGTTTTTCACTAACCCGAGCAGCCAGAGCAGAGAGCTGGCTGCCACCAGGTCGGGTGGATATGAACGACAGTCAGCCTATTCATCAGGAGCAAGGCCCTCTTGAAGGGCCTTCTGGTTGTTCGGGTTTACCTCAATCATCACAGCCCAGTACCGTTGAAGTACGTGGGTGCAAGACAAGTCCACTTATGGACACGTCCATCGTCTTTCGGGAACTTTTCAGATCTTGGGACAGGCCTATCAATCCCAACTACTGGGTGTTGGCCAAGTACTGGCACTCCACCACCATCGGGGCCCTTCCTAGGCTCGCTCATATTTCAGATATCATCCCATCTATTATCCACATTTATACGGATGGATCTGGTGGTTCGTCTAGGGGCAGGCCTGCTTGGGCCTTTGTGGTCTTCGTCGAGGACTCTCTTGGGCACATGGCGCTCCTCGGTTTCGAGGGCGACGTCTTGGGCATCGAGTTCCCCCCACATCTTACCTCATTGGCTGCCGAATTATTTGGTGCTCAATGGGCCTTGGCTTGGTTCCTGCAGTCCTCGTACGCTAGCCTATGTCATGAATGTGAAGTGCAGGTTCACTGTGATAACTTAGAGGCTCTCCGAGTTGCCAGAGGAGGCGCGCTCAGTGCTTCACTACATTCGGCACGCATCGAGCTTGACAGCATTGCGAAAGTGGTTCAGTATTTCGCACGCAGTGTCTCTTGGTTGCACGTACCAGGCCACTCTGGCCAGCCCTGGAACGAGATGGCGGACACAGTCGCCACGCTCGCTTCACTAGGCAAAGGTGATCTCCCGACGCCTGACGCATCCTGGAGGAGGTGCTTACAATCGCCCCAGGCACTACAATGGCTGTGGCTCAGGTTCGAGCCGCAGAGCGTGCAGATGCAGTACCCACCCAGCGCAGGAGCAGCGATGCCTAGCTTCCTCGAGACGGAGTCCGAGAAAGCATCAGCTCTCACCTCTCTCCTGCGCTTAGACACGAGACAGCCAGTTGCTTGCGACCAGTTTACAGCAGGAGCTCCCTCCTGCCAGCTGTGGGTTGCAGCTGCCAACGTCTTGTCCCTCAGCCCAGGCACGCTTTCCGCATCATCGGCCAAGCCCTCGGGACTCTTTCTCTCGGGACGCATGAAACAGTTGAGTGCCGCATTTAGCAGACATCAATTTTTCCTGATCGGGACTGTCGAGACTAGGTTTCCTCGCTCTGGGGTTTCCACAGTGGCACCATACCATATTATACACTCAGAGGCTGATGAATCTCGTCGGTTTGGCTGTTCTCTATGGATCAATACCTTTATCGAAGTACTTCCCGGTGTATCTTTGCAGGCCAAGCATTGCTGGACTCTTGCGGCGACCCCTACTTACCTACTCGTCGCCCTTCGAGTCGGCTCGTTCGCCCTGGACGTCCTCGTCGCTCACGCTCCTCACAGCAAGAAGCCTGAACATATCATCGAGGACTGGTGGAGGACGGTTTCGCTCGTCATCGCTTCTCATCGCTCGCCAGGGGTTGAACTGGTTTGTTTGTTGGATGCCAACGCTCGTGTCGGTTCGATTGTTTCCAGATACGTGGGTCCTATTGCGGCTGAGACCCAGAACCTACCAGGACAGTATTTTCACAGCTTTTTGGAGGAGAATGAGCTATGGGTCCCTTCGACCTTCCTGGAGTCTGGTCAAACATCGGCTGCGACGTGGTTTCCCCCTGGTTCCCACGGGCTATCTGCGGGTCGCCGTATCGACTACGTCACGTGCTCGTTTGGGATTTCGGTCGCTAAGCAGTTTGTCGTGTCGGACGTGGACCTCACCATATCTATACTAGATCATCTTTTGGTTGCTGCAAGTATTACGGTTCCAGTTGCTTCCGTCGCGCTTCCCACGGCCAACTCGCACAAAATCAAGTGCGACCAGGCTCGCTTTGCGGACGTGGAGGCACAGCAGCTTTTTTCTCAGCTTCTGCAAGAGTGTCCTGCTGTACCGTTCGAAGCCTCGCCTTCTTCTCACTGCCAGGTGCTAACTGTTCATCTTCAGAAATGTTTGGAAACAGCTTTCCCTACGCGTACTACCACCTCGGGCAGACGGCCTCGCCAACCCTGGATTTCCCAGAAGACTTTGGAACTGATGGATGCACGTACTTCCCAGCTCCGAAGCTATAGGCAGGTAGGCTTTGCTTGCAGGCAGCTACAGCTAGCTCTCCTATTCCATGTTTGGGCTGAACCCATTCGAGGTCCATGGGCTTGTCTACGCACCAGGCAGTGGAAGCTGTCAGCTCGAACACCAGGAGTATTTGGCACCAGATGGGGCTCACGTGCGAGCCAGGTTTCTTCCCTCTTCAGGCCTACTCTCCCCGAGCTCTTCTTCTACATTGACTGCCTGCGGGACATGTTAGGCGAAAGGATCTCCAATGTGAGGTTCGCAGTGGAATCGAATAAGTACCTCGTTTACTTCAGGCTTTGGGAACGTACTGGCGGGGCTGTCTTGGATCGGCTTTCCAGCCCCGCTACTCTGGAGGACTTGCGTTGGGTTCTTCCTGGTACTTCGGCCCTGTCGGGCTATGCATCACGCTGGAATTACGTCGTTCGTTTGTCTGGCCTTGGGCTGGCCTCTCGTGCTATTGCGCTCGAAATTATGACAAGATATGTGACACACTTCGTAGACCAGGATGCAAAGGCCCATGCAAAACATCTTGCCCAGGAAGTTTCTTCAGCCTGGTCCCGTCAGGACTTCAAAGAGTCCTATGCCAAGCTTCGGGCCATGGGAGCCTGTTCGCGTCGCAAAAAATCAGCTCGGCCTATGCCGATGCTCCTGGGACTCGAGGGCAAGCCGCTTCGTTCGAACATCGAGGTTGCGGATAGGTGGCTTCAGCATTTCAGTGGAGAGGAGGCGGCGCCAGTTATCCCTTTTTCCGACATATCATGGTTCATGAACTCCCTCCCCGCCCTCACCTCTGACGTTACGCATAACGTGGACATTAACATAGAGGACGTCCCGCCCCTCGGTATCACCCAGCAGACGCTGTTTCGTGCCAAGGCTTCCGCTGCAGGCCCCGACGGCAACGCGGGGGCAGTCCTTAAGAAGTTCGCGCTGCAGATCGGTCGCCTTTTTCACCCACTGTACGTTAAGAGCACGGTCCGTATTTGTGAACCTATCCAATGGAAAGGCGGTTTTTACTGGAGTCTGTTCAAGGCTGGTGTCCCTTCTAATGTCAAAAACTACAGATCCATCTTAGGATCTTCTCAAGTGGGAAAGAGGTTTCGTGCTCTTACTCGCCAAAGTGTGGTGTCCCAGCTTGAGCAGGCAGCAGGGGACCGACAGTTCGGCGGCCTGGCTGGTCGCGGTACTGAGTTTTCAGCGCTCGAACTCCGTGTGTTTCAACAACTGGCAGCAGCGCGTAACCACACGGTGATGATGCTGTTCATTGATGCTGTTCAGGCTTTCTACAAATCAGTTCGGGAACTTATATTTCGTACCTCGGCCAACGACGAAGCCATCGCCAAGTTACTCAAGTTCTGTGGGTTACCTCCAGAGGCCACCAAGGACCTGGCTGATACCATACGTTCGTCCACCCCCCTGCTAGAACAACACGGCGTTTCGGCTTTTCGCAGGGGCCAGATTTCCGATGCGTACGATCAATCATGGTTTTATGTGCAAGATGGTTCTGGAGTTGCGTTTCCCTGTTTGGGCTCTGGTCCTGGGCAACAACTGGGCGATTTGGTTTTCAATTTTATAATGGCCAGAATCATGGCCACTGCTCAGGAAGGGCTTCTCGCATTAGGTGTTGGGCTACGTCTACCTTGCCACCTAGTCTCGTCTCTCGCGTCCTACACCGAAGGGAATGCGGAGCAGCCGCCAGCAGTTTACACATGCCACTCTATGGACGGCGCCTTCTTTGATGACGCCCTGTTCTGCTTTGAAGGCCGTGCCAGTATTTTATTGCAGCAAGCGCCGTTTATTGCTTCCGTGGTCATTGACGCGTTCTCAGCCTCGGGGCTACAGGTCAACGTCAAACCAGGCAAGTCTGCATTTCTATTTCAGTTTCGCGGCATTTCCTCCAAAGGGGCCAAACGTACTTTGGTTCAGACGCTGCACAACACTATACATACAGTTACTCACAGTTTGGGGCCCATGTGTCTTCATCGGGTTCAAGAGTACGTACATCTGGGTACTAAGCATGATATGTCAGCGTCCATGGGGCCAGAGCTGGCCCACCGTCTTTCGGGATGTTCTCAGGCCTGGAAGGTCCTCAGAAGCAAGGTCTTCAAACACAAAACCATCGAGATGCAGACCGCATTGGTTTTCTTGGATTCTCTGGTTTGCTCTGGGAGATTATTCCAATCCAGCACTTGGGGCTTTCTTACCCAGGCACAGCATAATCAATTACAGGACGGTCTTCTCCGTTATTATCGCGCTATTGCCAGACTTCCCAGAGTGGATGACACAGCCATGCCATCCAAGTATGTTCTTGCACGAGTGGGGCGCCCACCGCTCGAAGCATTGCTGTCTGCCCACAGGCTTCGCCTTTTTGGCCGCCTCCTGCTATCGGGCCCACCCCACATTATGGCTTTAGTCCACGCCGCTATGGTTGAGACTTCCAGGACCTGGGGACATATGATTTTGGGTGATCTTGGATGGTTGCGTAAGTACACCCGAAGGTTCCAGGACTTCCCCGACCCTCTCGAGAACCTACAGTCTTGGGAAATGGAGGCCAAGAAGTCAGCTGTGGGATGGAAGCAGACAATTAGGCAGGCGCTGGCTGCTCACGTTCGGCACATCCAGAGAGACACTCTTGCTCGGGCTGCCGAAGACCAGATATTCCAGATACTCGATTCGGCAGGGGTCCCACCGGCATGGGACGACCCAAGGCATCGCCTACGACAGCAGGAGAGAGAGGACGCCAATGTGTTCACGTGTATGTGGTGCTCGCGTTCTTTTTCTCGCATTCGAGGGCTTCGTACGCACATTCAGCGCGTCCATCATTCACGCGTATCGTTCATTCGCAGCTGTCAGGGTTCGTCTCTCTCCTGCTGTACATGCTTCCAGTCTTTTGCACATCGGTCAGCTCTCACGGCGCATCTGGCATTCGACTCGTTACCATGTGCGATTGGCCTCATCGCGTCTGCTCCGCAGTGCACGGTGGCAGAAGCCGCCGCACTTCAGCAGCAGGAGGACGAACGAATGCGAAGTCAACGAGCTCGTGGTCAAGGAAGGCGGCGTATCGAGGTTCCCGCTATACGACTCCCCGCCTTCTCCCGTGACCCAGAAGTTGTGGCCCTCACCTCACATCTTTCGCACCAAGACGCCCTACAGTTGCTCCTGGAAGCTGACCCCGCCATCCCTGATGACCTCATACAGCAGTATACTACTATTTGCTCGGATGTCCCCTCGGTGATCCCCACGGTCCCTGAGACCCCTTTCTATGTCTATAACCCTGGTGAATTTCCTGAGTTTCTGGCTTCTGCTGTCCCCATTCGCATTCGTCGACCTACGGCGTATGTTCTACATTTATACTGTGGGCAACGTCGCAGAGGCGACGTCCAGTGGCAGCTCGAGCATGAGACGTTTACGTCCGACCTGCACTTAGTGATTCTCAGCGTCGACATTGCCATTGACGCCGACAGGGGGGACCTGACGAAGGAGGCTACGATTCTCGAATGGGTTGAGCACATACGTTGTCACAGGGTCATCAACACGGGGGGGGGGCCTCCTTGTGAAACTTGGTCGGCTGCCCGGTGGCACGAAGGAGGCCCCCCCCCTCTTAGGTCTACTCAGTTTATGCGGGGACTACCATGGGTATCTCAGCGTCAGTCCGAGCAGCTTCGTATTGGGTCTCAGCTATTGCATGCAATGGTCTGGCTCTTGGCGGAGCATCTGAGGGCTGGCACTGGGGGTTGGATGGAGCATCCCGCCAACCCCACGTGGGCCCCTAGGGCCCCGTCCGCGTTTCGTTGGCGGCCTCTTGAGGCCCTGGCCGCGGCCCCAAGCGCCGCGGTCACATCTTTCGATCAATGTGAGCACCAAGGTCCCGAGGTGGACCTTGGGCAAATTGGCCGTGCCCCCACTACCATTCTTTCGGTTCGAATGCCCACTATGGATAGGCTCCTTAGGGCCACTCCAGGAGGCGGTAGGTGTTCCCACCCGAGAGGCTCCCATCAGACCCTATTAGGGAAAAGGGCCTCGGGTTCTTTTTACACGGCTTCTAAGAAGACTTACCCGCCTCAGATGTGCCAGGCGATCGCCTCGGCCATCGTGGATAGTGCCAGGTCTCTCCTTTCCTCGGCTGAGTCCTCCACCCCGCCCAGTGAAGACCTGGACTATCCCGAGGACGATGATGATATCCGTGAATCGCTTGCTGTTTTCTATGCCACGTTTCAGGTTTCGTGCCCACCGCAGGAGAACCCTGCTCCTGACTTTGCTGGTTTCTCGCACAAGGATGCTTGTAGAGTTGACCCACGTGGGTTTGTCTACCCAGCGGGGGGCGCGGTGCGAGTGGGGACTGCCCGGCGGTGCGCCGTTAGTGACCCTCGCACCGTTGCTCCCCGGCCCCGCGCACGGCGCGGAGAGTTCAACTCTGCCTCTGGCTGGATGGAACAAAATTGTAGAGTTGACCCAGAATTTCACAGGTTCGTAGATTCGGACGATGAAGTGGAAGGAGCTGAGGACAGATCTCAGCAGGATTTCACGCCTCCCCCGCATGGCGAGGAGGAGGCTGAGGCAGAGCAGCAGTTCGCAGATCTTTTGCATGGCTCCCCAGAGGAGCAAGCTGCTGAGTGGCTCCTTCTCCCTCCCTCCCCCCCCCCGTCGCCTTCGCCTCCTCCTCCCGCCCCTCTCGAGCTCACCACCCAGCAGCGTGACCGCATTGCGGCCCACCGAGCTCTCGCCAAGGAGAGACGGGCGGCTCGTCGCAGAATCCAGGTGCCCACCCCATCGTGCTTCGCCCCGGCCTCCCCCCCAAACGCGGAGGGTAGGCGACAGGAGGCGAGGGAGGCCGCACGTTCGGCCTTACGCAACTGGCTCATCAGCAACTAGTTGGATGGGTTGGCACCTCTTTCTTTTCTTTTTCTTTGTTGTTGTGCATTGCTCATTGCATGTGTAGCAGCAGAGGTATGGAGCACGGATGTCCCAAGCCCCGCGTTGCATCATCACCGCCGAGGCTTCCCAATCACAGCATTGGTGGTAAGCGACAGAGGCGCCCAGTACTTGCCCCGTTTTGGGACAAACTGCGGACTGACGCTCTCTTGCACAGTCGAATCCACCCAAACAGCGGCAGCAACAGGCGTCTTTATTTTACACATCCACGGGCCTAAAAGGTATTGAGCCTTTTCCTGGAGGCAATCTGTCGCCAAAGATCCATTTTCGATGGCCCCCAGGGGGGGGCTGGAAACGGCCTCTCGGACGCATAAGTTCAAGAACCAACAAAAACCGACTGGAGGAACAAATCCGCCGGCCGCCAGCGCCCTCTTCATACAGGAAAGAGGAGTCCCAGAGAAAGGAGGAAAACGAAGATGTGGAGGAGTGAGAAAGGGGAGAGGGAGGAGAAGGGGAAAGAGAAGGAGGGAGGAGCCCCAGAGAGAGGAGGGGGAGGGGAGGCTTCACGCAAGACTTACCCAAGCAGGGGTGACAGTTGGTGAGCGGCTTGCCAATCGCTGTGAGCGATGCGACCTCAGCTGCATGCACGCTTAAGTTTGACCTCCCCCACGCCCCCCGAAAGCCGCGCACCAGAGGTCAACCCGGCGTCTCTGCTGCCGCCATTACTGTAGCTACGAATATGCTACGCAACTCCCTCTTTCCCTTCTGGCTCTCGGACGAGAAATCGGATCTCTGGCGTTCTTTTTGCGGCACGAGTCAGGCATCCCTGGAACGCTCCCGGCGACGCGCACCTGTTGGAACGCATCCCGAGGCTGGAGGACCTCCAGGAGCCGGCACAAAAGAATCGCGCAAACTGAGAGAGGTCTCTCATGCGAAAGGTCACTCCAGCGGAACGGGAAGCCGCCAGAGGTTTCGGTACCCGTGACTACCCGTGTCTGGGCCCCTCGGATGGGGACGGGGGGGAGAAGGAAGAGGACGACGACGACGACGGGGGTAAGAGGGAGGGGG